TGAGATAACTGCAAAACTTCTTTTTGCTTATCTCTCGTGATTTGCATTCCAAGAATCTTCTTTGTTGGGCCTAAGTCCTTCATGTCAAATTCTTTTGACAACTGCATCTTTAATTTTCTAATGTCTTTCATATTTGATCCTGCTACTAACATGTCATCGACATAAAGTAGCAATATGATATAGCTGGACTCATATTTCTTTAAGAAACAACAGTGATCAGCATTGCACTTCTGGAAACCTTCATTGTGCATAAAGCTCTCAAACTTCATATACCATTGTCTTGGAGCTTGTTTCAGGCCGTACAAGCTCTTATTCAATTTGCACGCCATATCCATCTTTCCTTCTGAAAAACCTTCAGGCTAGTGCATGTAGATCTCCTCGTCTAGTTCTCCGTGAAGAAATGCAGTCTTCACGTCTAACTGCTCTAGATAGAGCTCTTCACTAGCCACAATACTTAACACAGTCCTGATAGTATTAAGCTTTACAACTGGAGCAAAGATTTCAGTATAGTCAACTCCTTCTTTCTGCTGAAATCCTTTGACAACCAGTCGGGCTTTGTAATCTCCTGGAACCATCGTGGTCTTTCTTCACCCGATACACCCATTTGTTGTGAAGTGCTTTCTTTCCCATGGGTAACTTGACTAGTTCCCATGTCTGATTTGACATCAAAGACTTCATCTCGTTCTTCATGGCAAGCTCCCACTTGCTGGCATCCGGGGTTTGACAAGCCTCCTTATAATCTTCAGGTTCTCCTCTATTTGTCAACAACATGTAGTCCATGTATCTCTTACTAGGCACATGGGGCCGAGAGTACCTTCTCAATACAGGAGTTGGAGTAGAAGATTCTGATTGCACTTCACTTTCTTCATTTGATTCCTCTGACTGAGGACTCCTCATTATAGGACTGTCTGGGATATCTTCCACCTCTGCATAAACTGGCCCACTCGCTTCTGAGTTGCTGGCACTTCTGTTATGCCGGTCCTTGTACATCACTTTTTCATTAAAGATGACATCTCTGCTGCGAATCATCTTTTTGTTTTCATCGTCCCATAAGCGGTAGCCGAACTCATCTTCACCATAACCAAGAAAAGTACATTTCTTTGATTTTGGATCAAGTTTGTTTCTACCTTGATCACTGATGTGCACATATGATACACACTCGAAAACTCTAAGATGTGAGAGTTTTACTTCTTTTCCACTCCAGACCTCTTCTGGTAACTTGTGATCCAATGGTACCGATGGACTTCGGTTGATAAAGTAAGTTGTTGTGTTGACTGCTTCTGCCCAGAACTGCTTTGGTAGGCCTGACTCCACACACAAGCTTCTGGCTCTTTCAGTCAACGTTCGATTCATACGCTCAGCTACACCATTGTGTTGAGGCGTACCAGACACAGTTCTCTCCATTTTGATCTCGTGCTCATAGCAAAACTTCTTGAATTTTGTGGTTACGTATTCACCACAATTGTCGAATCTGAGCTTCTTGATCTTCAAGCCTGTCTCATTCTCCACCATAGCTTTCCAAATCTTGAAAGCTTCAAATACTTCTGACTTGTGTTTCAGAAAGTAAACCCATACTTTTCTGGAGTAATCATCGATAAAAGTCAAGAAGTACTTCTTCCCACCAACAGATGGGACAGTCGTTGGACCCCAAACATCGGAGTGGATGAGCTCAAGCTTCTCATTCTTTGGGATTCTTCTACTTGTCTGAAAGCCGACTCTCTTCTGCTTTCCAAGTATACAGCCTTCACACATGTCAATTTCTATTGACTGGAGGCCTAGTAATTCCTTTTGAGTGAATGATCTTCATCCCTATTTCACTCATATGCCCAAGTATTTGGTGCCATAGATTGGGACTTTTATTTGTTGCAACTGCAATCAGATGACATGCTCCTTTGGTCTTGTAAAGAGTACCACTCTTTTTGCCTCGAGCAGTTGTCATCGCACCCTTTGAAATCTTCCAATCATCACCATGGAAAATTGTCGTGTAGCCTTCACTGGCTAGCTGGCCCACAGATATCAAATTCTTCGTCAGGTCGGGAATATGTCTGACATTTTTCAATTCCAAACAGACCCGTTAAACATGATTTTTACTGCACTTTTGCCGACAACCTCACATGATTGCTCATTACCAAGGTAAACTTTACCAAGATTTTCATGAACATAATTCTTGAATAGTTCCTTCTGTGAGGTAGTATGAAAGGATGCTCCAGAGTCTAACACCCAAGACTCTTCTCTGTTCTCCAAAGAACATATCGGCGAATCTCCTCCAGAGGTTGAAGCAATATTTGCCTCTTCTTTTGTCTCCTGACCCTTTGGTGCACTCTTGCACTGATGCCCGGTCTTCCCACAATTCCAGCACTCGATCGATTTTGATTTTTGGGAATACAATGATTTCTGGACCTGGATCTTCTTCACTTTGATTTAATATATCTACTTTCTTTGGTTGAACTTCTTCCTCTCGACTCTGTATGCAATACAGAAGAGGTTGATGGTTCACCCGACTCCCTCCGTCAGATCTCTTCACTGAGAACCAAATTTTGGACATCATCAAATCTCAATTTATTGCTTCCCGATGAGCTACTCACAGCTGTGACCGTAGCATTCCAAATTTTTGGGAGGGAAGACAAAAGTAATAAAGGTCGTACTTCATCCTCGAACTCAATCTCAACTGAACTCAACTGGGTTGAAACAGTGTTGAGCTCATTGAGATGATGTGCCACCGGAGCACCTTCGATCATCCGCAGGTTGAACAATCGCCTCATCAAATGAACTTTATTTGAGGCTGATGGTTTCTCCTACATGTTGGAAAGAGCCTTCATGAGGCCTGCTGTCGTCTTTTGTTGCAATGTTAAAAGCAACATTACGGGATAACGTCAGCCAAATGGCTCCAAGGGCTTGTCTGTCGAGGAGACTCCATTCTTCCTCATTCATGTCCTCTGGCTTCTTTCCTGTGAGTGGTTGATACATATTCTTTTGGTACATATAATCCTCAATCTGCATCTTCCAAAAGCCAAAGTCCGCACCATCGAACTTTTCAATTTTCATTTTTCCTTCGTCTGCAGCCATCACTTCGTCTTTGATCTGACTTCTCTGCCGGATCGTTTCTGTAAATTTTGTGAACTATCGTGTTTCAGAATATGTCGGTAGTTAAATTTGTAGCGCCGAAAAATTTGACACTATTCACGTTTTTCACTATGTACGGATTAATAACCCTCACAAAAAAATAGTGAATTAACAATCTGGCTCTGATACCAGTTGTTGGGAAAAATACGCTGAAATTTCCATGAAGTCGGATCTATAAAAGTAAAATAAAAAAGAAAAACTGGACAAACTAAATTGATAACGGAGTTCGGCCAATAATACCTACGTCTCCGGACTACTTGAGATATTTTATTAGGAGAAAAGAAAACACTCTTGTTTACAAAACACTCGTAAACTCACTCACAACTCACAACACAAATACACACAGAAGCTAAACTTTTCTGCTTCTTGTTCACTCTATTTTTCTCTATTTCTCTTGTGCTGATGTATTTGGTTGTGTCATTTGCAATCAGAATCCATCTCTATTTATAGAGTGGGATTGCACAAATTTTTCAACATCCGTGTACTTCAATTTTTCAAAAAATGTTGCTGCTGCAATTTTTTATTTCTTTTTCTTCTTGCTGTTTGTCAAAAGGAGTGGGCACAATTTTTTTTTATTAACTTTGCTACTTGTCAGATGAAATAGGCGGCACCCCTTTAATGATTCAACAATTAGAAAGGGTGATAAAAGGATCAGAATGGCAGGGGGGAATCAAATAAGGAGAGGAGCATATAGATAGCTGCCTTTTACCTCTAGTGACAATGGGGGAGGGAGATAGGATGGAAGGAGAGGAGGACAGGATGGAGGGGGAGTTTAGAGTGGTTTTAGAGTTAGGTTTTCTTCTCCATTTTTTGGTTTTGGAAGGGGCGAGAGGGGGGAAGGGGAGGGGAGAGGGGGGCGAGAGGGTTAGGGGCAATTCAGAGGATAAAGAGGTGGATTGGGAGGGTTATCTAAGGGAAATAGGTTTCAACAACCATGAGTTGATCAGATTGCAAATTGAGTGGAGGGGAAGGGGCCATAGAGGTGGAAGTGGGAATGACAGAAAGGGAGGGAGAAGGTTGAGGAGGTGGGGGTTTAAGAGGGGGTTGATCATCTGATTCCGAGATAAGGGATGAGGTTTTATCAGTAGGGGAAGGTTTAGAAGGGGAACTGGAGCTAGGTTTGAGGGATTCAGAGTTAATATTATTAGGGGAATAATGATGTAGGTGAGGGTAATCTTGGGCTCTAAGACATTCTCCAAATAAGCCTTTTTTCGCTGTACCATTCTTGATCTCAGATGACCTCAATTCACAATTTCTGTCTAGGTGGTCTAGGAAGCCACAATAAAAACAAAGACTGACTAGCTTTTCATATTTAAAGTCTACCAGAATTTTTCTGTTCTGCAGCATTCGGGATGCACACCTCATTAATGGCTGATCCAGATCAATGGTGACAAGCAATCTAATGCATTTACATGCTAGCTTGCCACTCTGAGGGATAGAGACATTTTTCACCTGATTGAAGACACTGCCAACTTTAGCCCCAACTTCTGTAGAACACCAATCAAGGGAAAGGTTCCACACTTGAACCCACATGTCAAGTTCTTTAAAGATTGGATGATTAACATGAAGACCCACCTGCCAGTCTTTAAGAATCAGAAACTGGTTTTCAAAAGTCCATCCAGTGCCATTGCTCACTTTAACTTTGTCTTCAATATTATCAAACATAAATGGAAAGTAATTATCACTGATATCTCGAATAGTGACTAGAGCCTTGAGTTGCCAGATTATCCCAATTGCCCTTCTTAGACCTGGAAGTTGAGCTTTTTTCTGACCATGGATTTTCCCAAATAGACAACGCTTACATTCTTCTGCACTATTATGGGTGTCTGATAAGTCGATGGGAATAAGATTAGCTTCTCTCGATGATAATTGAAAAGATGTCAGCTTGTGGAAAACTCTTCTTCCATGACTCTTCAGCTGAGATATTAGCCTTAATGAATCTGAGAGAAATTGCAAATCCTCCACAGCTTGAAGTGGAAACCCTAGAAACAAAGAAGAAAAATTGGGTAAGGGCAGATAAGAGACTGGAGAGAGAAGCGAAAATAGAGAAAAACAATCATATAGAGAAGGACTCTCTAATGGAAAACGGCCAACAATAGCGGAAATTCGTCAACTCCGACGCGACGGGTTATCAGGGCTCCCATTGTGAGAGGAATCTCAATTGTATGTTTATTCACCCGTCTTTTCATATTCACTATTCATATTTTCACAAAACATTCATCTCTATCCTTATTAATGAGGGTTATTTTTGGCAAAAAAATATTCTTAATAACTGTGACTTCTCAAAACGACACTTATTATGAATAGGAGAGAGTATTCACTATGGTATGCTAATTTTTTGCTTCATTTAATTGATTGATATATTATGTGGCATTCGTCATAGAGTGACATAGGGACTTATGACCGTATTCAAAATCAAACAAAATAGAAACCTCGATAAAAATGATTGTGAAACACGAATGTTTTTCCCCAATTTTTCCTCGCGTTCCCTAGCCGATTATCTCATCTTCATCGGAGTGCCTCCCCTCCAGCAGCCTTGTCCTTCTCACCCCCGCGAGCTTCCGGCTCGCCCTAGGTTCCGCAGAGCGGCAGTGGTGGTCCCGTGCTTCACCATTCCACAGTGCTCCTGCTCAGCTATGAGCGCCATGGTGAGCGAGGAAAGGCGGAATTCATCGGCGACCGTGTTTCGACGGTAGCCGCAAACACCCTCGCAGTTTTCTGTGGCGATGGCCTCGCCTTGGTTCCCTCTGTTCCGGTCGTCCCTAGTGTTGAGACGGTGCAGTCCTCCAGCGGTGGCTATGTGGTTGCGTGGCAGCTTCGGCGTATGCGTGGGGGGGAGGGGGGGTGGGGGACTTGGGTGGGTTTACGAAGATCTGTGGGTTGTCGATTTTGCGGTCTGGGTCTTGTTGGGATGTATCATCATCCACGTGGCTTCTGCTTGATTTTCGTGTTTGTATGTTTGCTTGGTTGAGTTGGTGTTGGGATTTCTCGACTGGCGGGGAGGGCGTCAGTCTTAATTTAGTTTTAGTTTGTTTTTGTTAGTTTCGTGTTTTTGTATTTTTATCGTGCTTTTAGTTTTTGTGTTGTGTGTATTTTCTCTCCTCTAGGGGAGTGTGTTTCTCCCGTAGGGAAGCGCGTTTTCTCCCGTTAGGGAGTTTCTTCTCCTTTTGTGGAGTTAGCTTTTTTTGTTGTTCGTGCGTGAATTTGTTCTTGCTTTTAGGCGATCCTCTGGATCTCTCTCACTAGATTCGACTTTAGAGCAATTTGTTTCTGACTTTGAGATATTTCTAGATGTATGCTTGTGGTTGTTTAATGAAAATTCTATAGTTAGAAAAAAAAA